CATTTATCTTATGGAGGGCTTATTAAACCTACTGATGAATGGCTAGCAAAAATTATAGAATGGAATAAATATTTCGAAATATATCACGATGAATCGTATAAAAAAGGCCCCGGAGTTGTACAGAATTAGTCAGTGGAAACAGTTTTACCTTTTACTTTAATAAAAGATTTTTGTAAATTAAGAACTATAATAAGAATTAATTATAGAAATCTTAAACAAGAAAACTATAAAATATTGAAAAGAATGCCTTCTGAAAATGGTGATTGTCGAAAAAAAATTAAAAAGTTAAGTAAGATAATCACATATTAAAAAGTATAGCTCATTAATTTGTTAAATAAATATTAGACAAAAGACTTGTAAATTTATTGACGTACAGTACACTTATTAAATCCGAAAATTCTACAGTAGTTTACATTTAATAGTAATTTAATAATTAATTAAGAAATGATTTAATATTTTATCGTATTTTGTTATTTGAAAGGTCTGTCATGTTGAAGTAGAGGACTTGCTGTGACGTCACATAGATCCAAGGTCATGCTAACAAATATACGAGATCTGGCCATCCTTGTAGTTTAAAGTCCTTGGCAGGCAGCAACTGGAAGGTGCCTGAAATTTTGAACAGAGGCGCTGGCAGCGCGTTGAAATTTTGAAAACATCCGGTGGAAGCGTGTCCTACAGGATAGGACGTGTTTGTGTCCTGTCAGAAGTATGAAATTATTTTAAAAGTACAATGCAATTAATTAAGTATTAAATGGACTACGAATACAATTTTCAAAACGTTTTTTTTCAACACAATCAATTCTGTAAGCATTCATAAAATTGGTCAATAGAATGGTGTCTGACCACTGCTGAAATTCCTTTCATTGTTTCTCTAACGCGCTCCTGAAAAATCTGTATGTTCTCCATTTGGAGACATGAGCACTTTAGTTTTCCCCATACCTGTATTTGAAAGTCTAATGAAAAAATATGGAGACTATTCGATACAGACTCTATACTACATGGATCCGGATTTGAATTTTCTTGAAGGCAAATTCTTTTCGGCTTTCTATTTGCAAATTATTAAGTACTTTCAAAAGGAACGAAATGAATAGATTTTAAAAAGATGTATGCAAAATTTTCCTGTCATTAAACGTTTTTTAAATTTATATTCAGATAATAAGGTGGTTTTATGCTTCATGTGTGCTGCATACAGTAAATACTACATAGGGACGACACTACCACTTTGCGCTGCGCCGCCATACATTTGGCCGAGAATATAATATAGTGGCATGATGAGGATATTTTGAACGCATGTAATAGAATAAAACGTATGCTATCCTAATTAATTTCGATAAGACTTCAGTTTTTTAACTCTTTCCGCGATGTGGACACTAAGAGGACATTTTTTCAAGCCCTTTATGGGTTCGACCAGGCCCACAAGGTCTGCCTGATGGTGAGAGACGAGATCCAATATATCCGGGGACGGACGGTCCATGAAAAATTTCCTGGGTTTTTCTACCCGTTTGGATTCGATCCCGGGTTTCTCTGAACGATAGGCTGACACCTCAATTGCACATAGCAATTTGCATTGCACGTAGTAAAAACTTGTTTTTGGCAAAATTCGAAATATGCATTTCAAATGTGAACAACGTCGATTTTTTTAAATTAAAATACGGTTTGTTCAAACTTCCCATTGTCTCAAAGAATAAATAAAGAGTACTCAAAAATGTTCCGTTTCGAAATCTTCCATTAATACAAATCAGTCAATTAATTCTTTAGTTGAATACTTTAAATTTTTACATAAGTCTTTTGTTTTAATTAAGGCAGAAGTTTTCTGAGGTTTCTCTGGAGTACACATCAGGCTTTCTGTGCATTTTTCACAATCTATGAATTTCTACAGCTTGTTGATTAATATTGCAAGTAACATTCATTCTATTTATATGAGTCACCCAAGCTGTAGAGACCTTATTAATGTAATGGATACTGCTCAAGCCTCAATGTGGTAGATATTCTGAAGGTGCAAAACCTGAAGATCGACTGTACAATGCTTCTCAAATGTGTTGAATGAGTGATAAGAAGCTCACACTCGTGAAGTAAACACAAAAAAGATATCGAGAAAGAACTTTTATTATGACAACCGTTACAACGTACCGCTTCATGAAAAAAAGGGGGAAAAAAAGGTGAAAAGATTACATGTTGCCAACTGACGGATAAATTAACCAGTAAATAAAATAAACATTAAAATTTTAGCATTACGACATGAAGCATAATAATAATATACAGTACAGTAAATATGCCAACAATATGCACTGTTAAAACTAATACCTTAAGAATACGGCTAAATGGGAAGGGTTATAACTTCAGGACGAGTTTTAGCCGCCATTCCATTTAGCCGTGTTGTTATTAGTTTTAATGTAGATTTGGGGCTAGAAGCGTACTCAATTTAGTCTAATTTGCACTGTGATACTGACTTCTGACCTCTCAAATTGGCAACATATACTCGATAAATCACACTTTTTAAATGTCCCCACAACCAAAAACCACAATAATTAACAAAAATGCCGTAGTTGTGTTCATATTCATTTCCGCACGTCTCGAAGTGTCAGCCTACCACATTTAATTACATTTAAACTGCTGAGTGCTAGCCAATCTATTATAAGAAATTTAAAAAGTATGTAAAGATTTTATAGAATATATTAAAACGTATTAAATCAATATGTTATAATTTCACAGAACTTAAAAATTTCAAAAGTATATTACGTTCCATAAGAAATATAAGCATAACAAACGAGGAAACACATTTTATTTCCTTGATTTTGGACCTTTTTCACATTAACACCATCGATCGTTGTTCAGGAAGTTATAAAGGCGTTAAAGAACTTGCGCTTAGATAGTGCTGCCATCTCTTGGTATAATAATTAATCAAAATGCCGGTTAAAGAAGAATTAGAGAAGGACGCCCGAAAAGATAAAAATCAAGAGAAAGAAAAAGAAAACGAAATTGATATATATCGAGATACGCCCGTAAGATTATTAGGTAATAAATTAATTATAATTTTAAAAATATATATTTAATTCGACATTAAAGAAATAATAATAAAAAATAAAAACAATTAGAGGTCACTCGGGTCGTGTAAAAAGGAAGCGTGCTGATTGTGTGTTATTATAATTACAGGATACGCTAACGAAGTGGGGGAGTCGTTTCGAGCACTTATTCACGTCCGTCTCGTACACGCCAGCTATGTAGTGGCTAGTGGTTATGTATTAATGGATACTCTAGATAAAGTCAAGAAAGTTAAAAAGGTCTATAACACATTTAAATATGAACATTTCTTATTAATAAACTTACTTATTACACGTCACTATGAAATAATACATGCTGTATCAATAAATGATTTATAATTATTATTTATTATAATGACCAGCTCTCTTGGCAAACAATTTAGCATCCTTCTTTGCCCCTAATCCAGTGAAGCTGAGTCTCCTCCATCCTCACCTCCATTTCCTACCACTCTGCAAACACCAATGTTATATTGCCAGTCCTTTTCTTACGTCTTCAGCTATATTGTTCATCTGCCTCTTTCTGGGTCTTCTCTTAGGTTTCCCCTCCATCATCATCTTCAATACCAACTTTGGTATTCTATTTTCTTCTATTCTCGTGATATATCCAAACCATTTTAGCCTAATTAGTTCTATCTTCTCCCCAAATTTTCTTTCCTGTTTTCCTTTGTTTTCAATGTTTATCGTGTCTTTTCTGGTCTTACTCATCATGCTCCTGAGGAATTTCATGTTGCCTGGATTTTTTTGTCTTCTCTCTATGATGTAGTCCATTAGCATCCTTCTGTAGTCCCATTTCTAAAATGAGCATCCATTGCTCATTTTAGGAACGATCTACAATCATTCTAGGGTTTTAGGTAGTGTTGACACCAGTCCTTTAGTAAGAACAGTTCTTTCTTCAATTGCAGTACCCTTCCATGCATATTTAGTGATAAAATGTTCTTTCTAACAGCAAAATGAATAGAAAAAACAAAGATGTTGCAGCTAATGTTGATGGCTAGCATTTCTAGTGTAACTTATTTAATGTTTCTCAACACTAAATAATTTCTGAGATCTGAAAGATATTGCAAGACATTCCTTGATTAAACTGGGAGCTGTCCTCAGTTATGATTCCATGTACATGTTATATCATTATTGTCCTTACTTTTAAAATTGAAAGGTAGCAACACTAGTTGTAGATCATCCCTGTAATGAATAAGAACACCTAAAAGAATCGTGGATTTAGGAATAACCATGCATTATCTCGATGGAAGATAACTTATCTCTCCCATTTTCTCAAACATTTCTCTTTGATTGCATTGTTCAATTCTTACAACAAAGTCATGTAGCTAATGATTGTCCTCTACTTTGTCAAAAAAGCAATGACTAGCAATAAGGCAGATCCAAGGGGGCTATAGAGACTTAAGTTCTTCCCATTGACATAAAAAAAAATTAAAATTTATTTGTTTGAACCTCAAAACATTGATGACAAATATGGTTTGTTAGTCCATCACAATACAATCATCTTGCACATGTTAATAAAAAGTTTTTATAAATTATTCAAACATTAATTTTTGAGTTAACTTTCCTTTGGTTTCTTCTATATCAGCTATTGAGCAACAGTTTTTTTTGCATGTCAGAAAATTGAGGATTCCCATGACCTTGGCTGATAATTGGGTTCAGAATTTTAATTCTTTTGCATATACAAAGTCCAACATAGACAATGCTATAATAAAGGGTTCAGAATTTTGTTAAAGATGAGGAATCCATGTGCTTCCATTGTTTTGATAGGGTTTTTTTTCTCAGAGTCAAAATGATACATTTAGCTTTTATCCTGATTCAGGAAGTCTTTTTTATTATTATTATTGATTTTCAACTACTGCAAATAAGATTGTGTCAACACTTCTTGGGTGCACTTTGATTAATTGTTAGACTATGGGAGACTCATGCTGCAACTTTTCTCATACTTGACTTGTTATCAATAATGGACTTCTTATGTTCATGCACTATCCCTACTTACAAGTTAGTTTGCAACAAACCATGATATCACATGATGATCCTGCAGAATAATGATATGGAATTTCATGACATTCTCATTGACACTTGCTATTCTCTGCCTTCAAGAACATGACTCATTCAAGATGGATTGATAACCTCTTTGAAATTCAGCTATCCAAAATTTTATATGCAAGTACAATGGAGTGGATTATTGCAATGTTTCCTGTATGTCATCATGGATGTCTTTTGTCAACATTTATTTTTTTGAAGAGGTATTGGATGCCATCATAATGTGTTTAATGTTCCTCATTAAAGAAAATCTCCATTTTATCTACTAGTATCCTCTGCTGGCACTTCTGCTAATAAGTGCAAGTAGCAAAGTGAAAATTAGACAGGATGTATAGTACCATGATGAATCCATGTATGGCTCTGCAAGTTTTCTTTCCTTTCTTCCTGGTTAGGCTAGAGACTACATCTAGATAACTAGGTAGCTAAAGCAATAAATATGCTAACCTGTTGCTCTGAGAATCTGGATTTGAATGTAAGTTAGAACCTCAAAAGTATTTATCGAGTAGTTTGATTTGATGGATACATTAAGTCATATCTTATATCAAGTTGCCCTAATAGAGAGTGTAGCTAATCATGTGATTTGGATGAGAATAGAAGCCTACCAGTAACCAAATGGCAGAAAGAATTTTTAAAAAATAGAAGTGTTATATAGAATAGTTTTATAAATGATTAGGATTGAAAGATTATGCAAACTTTGTTAGTATTCATTTACTCTAGATCAGTTTTTGCAATTCAGTAATATTAATAAAAATAAATCTTAACAAATAATATATAAATTCCTTTAATTAAGTTAATAAAAAATTTTATTAGATGATTCAGAAAGTAAGTACAATTTTACAGGTAGTAAAATAGATGTATTTATTATAAAAATAATGAAAACAATATTGAGACATTCTCCATTTCAGCTACATGAACTTCTACTTATTTTTAACTACATTCATTTTCTTTTAACAGAAATTGCAACACATTTCTTTATTAATATATATTTTTAAATACAATAATTAATATTTTAATTATTAGGAATTAAAAATTAAATTTTTTTAATGTGCACAAAACTACATGAATTTTATCTTTAGAATTCTTTACACATAGATTTCTGAAGATGAACGCAGTTTGTTTTAAAAATATTATTGAAAAATTACAGTTTATCATATGTTTCTCTCTATTCTCAGCATAGATTATAATTATTCTTCATGTTCTCTTGAATATCTTCCATTTTGAAAGCCAATAAAACTGTCCTCAATGGACATTTTTAAGATTTTAGCTGTTGTAAAACAGTGTAGAAATTTTTTTCACAATACATCAAAGCAAATAATCACTTAATGTTACATCTAAACTTTGAGGAGAATAAACTACAGTTACTTACTAGTGACAGCCAAAATGCTAAAGAGCTATTGTTCTAAGTAAAACTGAAAAATTCTATTATTTTAAGACAGGGTTTGAGGCCAGCTAGTATTATCAAAAACTTTTATGGCCATTTGACAAGAATATGTCAGTCAGACTTCTCTTTCACTACCTAGCAGTTATATGTGTACCAAATGAACTGACACTATGAATGCCAAAAGGTCCTAGTAGTATATGTAAGATAGAATGAGAAAAAAATAAAACTGTCTGCCTGTCATATAGAAGTGCTATCAAAAAAATAAAATGAATAACAGAAGAGATTATAAGGACTTTATGGTCATTTCCTATTCAAAAACCTAAACAATATAATTAATAAACATAATTATAAGGCATGATCAAAAGTTTCTGTTTGAAGGCTGTACAGTCCAGATTTAGTATGCCAGTCATGCAAAAGCACTGTGACCATTTAGGCAAGCATCCACTGCTTCACCAGGTTTAGTATACCCCTTTGGTAAAACTCCTGTTTCTGCTGCTTGAAGAAGTGCGAAACTGCCTGCTACACTTCTTCGTCTGACCGGAACTGTCAATCTTTTAAGGGACCGAAGGCGTGAAAATTGCATGAGAGCAATCAAGACTGTAAGGAGGGTGCTCGAGTGGCTCCCACTTCAGTGCACGTAACTTCTGCATTACGACATTTGCAGTATAGGGACGTGCGTTATCATGAAGCAGAATCATTCCATTTCGCAGTTTTCCTGGACATCACAGTTTTCCTTAATTGCATGTCGTAATCTCTCCAGCGTTTCGCAGTACCATGCCCCAGTGACGGAGACACTTGGTTTCTTGAAATCAATAAGCAATGGGTCCTGGTATTGAAGAATAGGGTAAGCATCACTTTTCCAGCAGATGACTGGCTCTTGAACTTCTTGGGATGAAGGATGACACCATTGCATGGTCACCGCTTTCAACTCAGGTTCCCAGTGGTGGCACCAGCTTTCATCGCCAGCAACAATGCGTTCAAGGAACGTGTTGCCATCAACATTGAACCGCATCAGGTGCTTCAGGGAAACAGCCATCTGGTTTGATTGTTGTTTGGAATTTAATGCCCGGGGTATCCACTGGCTGCAGACCTTACGGTAGCCTAACTCCTGTCGGATTATGTGTTGCACGCTACCGAAGCTTATGACAAGATCTTTTGAAAGTGCACATATGGATATGCGACGATCCGCCCTAATCACATCATCAGCTGCCTGTTCTTAAATGGAAACTTTTTGATCGCCCGTTATATTTTAGAGTCAAGAGAGAAAGAGCATTGTACCAGACTGCAATTACCAAAAAGACAGAAAGACACTCAATGACTCAACAATGTTAACAGTCTTAGAGCTTGAGACTGACTCCCCTCTATATCCCCATACATAATAAACAACCAAACTAGAATAAATAATGTGACTGAACCCTAACATCCAGTTCTAGGAAAACATAATATGTTCCTTTTGCAAGTGCTGCTTGGGCACAAGTGCTTTCCACAAACACAATCATTGACAGCATTATATAGGGATAAAGCACCACTTTATAATTTTCATATATTTTAGAAACTATATCATTTTGATCATTAGAACCTCTTCAAATTTTTCAATATTTGATATTTTTTTTCAATATCACTTGTCATTATCATCTGTAATGCCATCCAAATTATGATCGTACATAACCATATGTTTAGGACATGATTTTTTTAAATTGCCTTCTGAACTCTGATTAGCAATTTAAAATTAATTTTTTTATTGAAGAACATCAGATTTTAGTTACAGATCTTTATTTGATAGCTTGAACCATTATGTACAAACTATTGAAAACGAATATTTTAAAATACATATTATTTTAAATGATACAGTAAATGACTAAAGAAAAATTTCTGATTTGTAGCAGGTTATAATAGAAATTTGCGGTGTTCATTGTAATGCAGTAAGTATATTAATGAATATATACTAAAATCTCTGTTTCTTACATTTATACTGATTATTAGATTTCAGATTAAATAAACAGTGCCTAAAAGCAAAGAAACAAAATATGTCAGTCTGACAGCATATGTATTAAGACATAAATATCTACTAATCAAGATAGCAAGTTTGAATTCTTCTTCAGACATGAATATTTGTGATGATCAGATTTTAAGGATTGTTATTTGGAAATTGTTTTAAAACTACAAGTATGACATTGCACATAAATAAACTTTTATCTAAATATTTTTAAAATCTGCCTCTATTTCCATCCAAATATAGTATTTTGATGAGAGAGAGAATTCCAAAATCATTTAAAATTATGGTGTATTCCCTTGTTGATTTATGCACTACTGATTTATATATTATAAAATCTTTCTAAAATGTGCATAATCCAATGTTTCAAAACATAGGATTAAAATTTTTGTTTCCATATTTTCTGGTTTATTTCATTTTGAGAATTTGATATATGAGTTATTAATGTCCACTATTTTCTGCTTTATTGGAGACATTTAAAATGTTTTCTTTAATTCTTAAATACTTCCAAAACCTTTTAATTAATGTATCTTCCCATTTTAAACATCCTCCAATAATCAGAAAACAGTGGACTTTAACAATCAAAGAAATTTATTCCAGTTTTTAAGTTATTAATAACACTGCATTTCTAAATTCATCATTCAAAAATATTGTTAATATAAACAATTTTATACTTAAATAGTTTGAGAATGTTTCATTTTTATGAAAATCTTTTTATGTATAAACTATTCATACAGACTTTTTTATTAACAGATTATACCTCCAACAGATCCTACTTATAACAGAAGGATTACCAGTGTAGCTATGGATACTTTACTCTGGCAGAGTTTAGCATCAGTTATGATACCTGGTTTTACAATTAATAGAATATGTGCCTCATCCTTATATTTGTTTCGAAAATTTTCAAAACTGCCCATAAATGTCCAGAAATGGACGACAACTGCCATAGGACTCGGATGTATTCCGTTTATTGTGAAACCGATTGACAAATTTGTCGACATTTTAATGGACAATTCTGTCAGAGCATGGTTTGACACTGCCAGAAAGAGTGGACCTTCCCATTAATGGATATTGATTTAGTGCAGAACAATTTAATTTAAAATATAAAATAGAAGGAGTTAAATTGTGATCTTCCATGATTTTAGGAGAAGTGTGTTCAATTTAAATTATGAGAATAAAATAATGAGTTAGTGCCTTATAATTTCTTCTCATTTATAATTGTGTCAGTCACTAAAGTCAAGATGGAAGAGTTTAAAATATTTCCAAGTTTTGCTTTATCCCTGCATGCAAACTCAAAGTAGAACTTAGTAGTTCAACAGATAAACACCTTATTATTCGAACATGATGACAATAAAAAACTCCATTAACAGTCATATCTATTGGCCACTTATCAAAACATTTGAACATATATTGGAACAAAATTCAGACACTACTGATACATAAATAAGCGGCATGAAGATGGTCAAAAATATTTGTTTAGTTAATTTAATGTCATTTTGATGGAATAAAAATATGTGTTTATCTGTAGAATACTATTTTAATCCAGTAAACTTTCAGAAATAATTTGATTTTGTAATTAATATAACAGATCAGTTTTTTCTTTGTTATGTTTCCATGTATTTAGATAAGGTTAATCAAAACCAAAATCATGATAATTTTTAATTTTCTGATAATCTTTTAAAAAGATTACCAGAAAAAATTACCAGAAATCTTTTAAAAAGAAAAAAAAATTACCAGATTCTGTTGAAAATTACACTATTACAGATAAGTTTAATGTGATGGGCTGATAATAGAGACAAGATCTAAACTAAACTGTGAGAATATGAAATAAAGAATATAGCTGAGATAGTAAATACATTAACTCTCAGAAACTTGAGTCTGAATCAACCAAGAAATTTCAATGAATGTCATGATTCAGATATATTAAGCCCCATCCCTTACTAATCTGGTGATCTGACTTTTTCACAAAAAGCATGGAAAAATGACTTTAGTTTCCAGAGAGTCAAAATAATTAAGTAAATTATGGATATTTAAGCAATAGTATATCTTGCACACCACAATAGGCAAAACCAGTTAGGGTGCTAGCTTTGAAAAACAAAAACCAACGATATAATGTACTGTAAATCAATGAAGTTTGGATATTTAAATTCCCATTTTATCCTTGTAAATATTCCAAATCATTCTCAACAAAGAAATGCCTTAATTGTATCAAATTTACTGTTTTTAAAATAAGCTTTTTCTTAAATATTTTAATTTTTTATCAGATAATTGTTACGATCATAAAAGATGACTTGTAATAATACACTAGAGTCATTTTGAAATGTGTTAAATAATATAATTAATTATTACATTTGAGTTTCTAGATACTTAGCAATTAAATCAAGTAATCAAAAAATGAAGTTACTACCTTTATCCTTAATAACATAGTAAAGGATCTATGGTATTTAAAAATAATTAAACAAGATAAAATTAATTATATAATGTACACCATGAACCACAAATCATATAGCATTAAAATACAGGGTGTTCAGAAAGTAACGCAATCCATTAGGCCAGGAACACACATGCGTAAAATTCTGCATTAGAACTTGTCTAACGCGGAAACGGAAGATATGTTAATTAAAATTAAAAATTCCGGAGGGGACTGTCATGTTCCGTTTTAAACGGATGCCAAACATTAACAAGTTCTTTGCGAAATTACGTTTTAGAGAGGTAAATACAGAAGTCCTCGTTTTTACTTCCTGGTTACTTCCACGATAACCGTCGTTAAGCGAGCCGTCGTAATTCGAATACTAATTTCTCATAAAATCGATATCGTAAACTGTGGTTCCGTTTCAAGAAAAACTTTGAACTGTATGATTTTCCCTTTTTTACATTTATTCCTCGCTATTTTAACTCGGAATTGTGATTTTATAAGATGCAATAAATTATCGTTGTAAGAGAAGCACTTTTAGGATAAGATCAAGGATAAGATACATTATTTTTTGCGTTGGTTTTATATGATACTGTAGCCATGACCTGTTTTATAAAAAAAAAAAATTATGCTTTTTATATTACAAAGACTATTTTTAGCAAAATATTATTTAAAATTATTAATTTCTTCTCACATTTTTTATCGAGATAGAAGTTAATGAGATCCATATTAACAATTGTAAAGCAGTAAATTATGCAAATTTTTCAGATTATAATTAGGCTATTACAAAAATATACGTTTTAATAGAAAAAAGTAAGAAATTTAATAAAAATGGTGCAGGGAAGTAGAAATTCTGATATTTTACTGCATTGATTGAACGAAAAAGTCAATTTTTAGTTTCGACAGGACCCATTCTTCCAAGTGAACACGAGCAGTGGTCGTGAGTTCGCGCCTAACCTATGAGCTGTACACGTAGAATTTTCCGGATGTTCTAATTTACACTTAGATAGGGTCCAGTTTCCCATATAAGTCCTCCGGGGAGGCACCTTCTCCTTGGCAAATCGTCCTCGTGTTAGTTACCTTTTTCCATCAGTCCAATCCAAGTGACATTGCTCACATTTTATCTCAATTAGTGGGTTATAAATCATAAATTAGTGCTTACAAATAATCTTAGTGCTATTTACATTATTATACTGTATATATAAGCCTGGTATACTATATATAATGAATTACTTATAGTTGAACTAGGAGAGAGGGAAGACTAACCTACTCATTAAAGTATATATAAAAATAATATTTATTTCCTCAGAAAAGTGGAGAATTTAGAGAAGAATTTATTTAATTACGTCAAATTTTCTAAACTTTGAACTGTGCCATTTTCATTGCTTGATATGTCACAGTCATTATCACTGGTGCTACACGTTATCAATTGAAAATAAACAGATAAAATATAGTTTCTATAGTGTTACGGGTTAAAAAATACTTTTATGCAGGAATAAACAGTATTAAAATTTACTCATTTCTTTCTCAAAATTTCTGTAGAAATGAACTATTTATAGTTATGACCTGCGTTAATATTATAATTATCAGGAAAGTCAATAGCGCAAACTCTATATTTGTTATAAAAATCTGACGTTTTGATGGGAAAACAAAGTAGGAAATGGTGAAAACTTTACTGAATAAGGAACATAAATGTTAATTTAATATTTAATTTATTACCCTATCTCATCATTTAACTATTAACATCATTTTTAAAATATTTTTAATTCGTTTTTAATCTACAGAGTGCCACGCACGTAAGTCACGCACCATAGGCAAATTATAATGAGTTATTTTCGTTTCAGGACAGTTTCAGATCTGTTTATAAACGAAGGTCCTCGTTTACAAGCGATCGTGTCGATCCCTTTGCAGATCAAAATCACGCAGGCATGTCAGGCGTGACCTCTGACGTCTCATCTCTCTAGGAATGGATCGATGGAATAAAGAAATGCAACACTTGTGAGATCTACCAACACTGGCACGTTATAGCTTCATGGGGCCCAAGCGAATTTGAATTAGGGGGCCCCATGTACAATGTTGACTTCGGATATTTTTTTAAGAGTAATGTTTTCTTACAAAAAATTGGTTTGGAGGTCCCTGTTGGTAGGGGCCCAGTCAATTGTATTTTATGTCCATAGGATAACACTCCACTGTCTACCAAGGGAGGACTTCCTAATGGAAACTGGCCCTATTTAGGTGGAGACAAATGAAGAAAACCCAGAAAAGTTCACATGATCAGCCCGTTGATGAGGCAGGAACTGACGACCAATTACCCCTTTCTAGTGGTTTTATCTACTGGGCTACTGGTGGACGTCTCTGTTAGTCTCCGGTTGTACATATTTTACAAGTCCAATTGTACAGGAAATAGAGTAAACAAAACAATTTTTGCAAGTACTGTATATACTATAGTAAATGTCCAATGTACAGTAAACATGCACAGAAAAACTTGCTTCAGTAAAGATGTAGGTTGATTTATGTGAATTCAACTTTGTACGGTGCAAAGTATTAATTTACCATTTGTCATAAACAAAAGCTAATATTTTTGTAGAATAAATCATTAAGCTTTCAAAATTATTATTAAATTCTAGTTTTAAGAAATACAAAAATAACTACATATGCTATTTATTCTTATTGATTTTCACATTTTAAAAATTCCGTTTTAATAAATGAAATCGCATTTAATTAATTTGGATGCAATTTTCAAATTAGATAGATTCCCACTGTCATTTGTCTGTTAACCTGTCCGTCCTTCATTAATTAATCTCGAGAACGGAGTTAGATAGATAAAAATCGAGACCAGATATGAAAAGGCCGGAGGTCCCGATTAACTATATACGAACTTCCGGGCCAGATCGGCAATAACGTGGTTTTTTCAATTAAAATATGTTTAAAAACTGCAGTCTTGGCATTGTGACGACATCAGAATAAGTAATTGCTGGTAATATATATAAGTTATATACAGTCGAACCTCTAATGACGGCCACCTCTAAACGGCGGCTATTTTTTTCTGGGATGTTGAACAAAAACTGCATACAAAATAATCTCCAAACAACGGCTGCTTTTTATGTTCCCGTCAGTGGCCGTTGTTCAGAGGTTTGACTGCATTGTTTTAATTATTATTATTATTTCAATTACAATTACAGTATTATATATCCTGACCATTATAGTGTGTCAATTCAGGTCAGCTGAATGTGACAAAAAATAATAGAATAGTTAAATTATAAATAAAGAATAGAGAACGACCTGTGTGTCTGCTTTAATATGAACTTACTTCTGCACTTGTACAGCTTGAAGAAGAAGCTTAATTTTCATTTTCTTGAACTGTTGGATATCTCTAGACCTAAACATTATATAGATAATAGTAGAAGACAGTCAAGCTTGTGATATTCATGAGAAGCTCTAGAAAATCAATAAGAATGTCATATATTAACAGATCTATTGCTTATTCTAAAAATATTATACTATGATAGATCAATATCTAAAATTTTGCATATATAAATGTGGATATTTTTTAAAATGTATATACATTTGTCAGGTATATTAGGATATCTTATACAATTTAGAACATATATAACTTATATTTTCGTGTAAATCATACGAAAAAGTGTAACTGGTCCCTATTGAGGTGTTACAAACGTAAATAAAACCCGGAAAACACCTGTGCACGAACCCGCGACTAATTTATCCACGTTGCTACTGGTGAGCTGATTGATTTAAGGAAATTTGTAAAAATTCTCTGAATTCAC